TGTACTAAAACCCGAAACAACCGGAACGAAACCACCGGAACAAGAATTGGAAATGACCGGGACTACCGAAACCAAAATCAAACACGATCGGAACAAAGTAGTAGGACACGACCGGAACAATAGTTATTTCGAAAGGTCAAGGAGGTGGAATTCCGTGTTCGATTATGGTTTCGGTGGTTCCGATCTTTCCCGATTCTTGTTCCGGTGGTTTCGTTCCGGTTGTTTCGGGTTTTAGTACATGCCGAAACGTGCAACCACGATGAATATTATTAATGAAGTTGCATAACATTAATATTACAAAATATAGTCTTATAGATGACCATATGGCAGTGTTGTAACGAGTCGAGTCATTGACTCGGACTCAATTAAGTCGACTCGAGTCGCTAATTTCAGCGACTCGACTCGACTCGAGTCCTATACGAAAAATGACTCGACTCGAGTCGACAGTCCCAAATGACTCGACTCGGACTCGACTTGCTGATTTTGCCGTAAATGACTCGAGTCAACTCAGCTACAACTTGTACAGAGTAAATTCATCAGAATTATTGTGATTGTACTGCTTGGGAAGAACAACGAGAACTTTGAAACTTTATCAAAAAATATATGGGATTTGCGTAAATTAATATATTCCTGACGGGCATACCTATATTACATTTCTGTTTTTAGAAACAACGCTAGTCCCACAGTTTTTAAAATGGAGTCTCAAAATTTTTTGTACTTATGCTAATTCTGACAGGTTATTTTCATTTTTGGTATTTATGAAGAGCTATATAATTTCAAATTAACTTACAAAGCGTGGTTAATTAATGTCTATGCTCCGTTCACTCTGACTCCAGTTGCAAGTTATTCTAGTTGTATGTACGTACACTCGATCAGCAGGCATGATGAGAAACGCTTGCTCGTACTTAATATTGACTATATATAGAACTGTGATATTGGTACAGCCTATAGCTGCTCAGATACTGTTATTAAATGACTAAAGTAATTGGTTTAAAACGCAAATTTGATTACTAATTTCCGACTGCAAGCTAGGGTATAGCTCAAGTCAAGTCCAGCAATTGACTCGACTCGACTTAAACAAGTGACTCCACTTGACTCGAGTGAATCTGCTGACTCGACTCGACTCGAGTGAAGCCACTGACTCGACTCGATCAAAAACTGAAATGACTCGACTCGACTCGTGACTCGACCTTTGAGTGACTCGACTCGTGACTCTACCTATAGGTGACTCGTTACAACACTGCCATATAGTCATAGATGTTTTATTGCTTTGAGGTATGTTAATTTTACTGGAATTATAAAATTTCTTTAGAATAACATAAAACATTTTATAGTTCAATTGATCTCTATTTTTGACAAACTCTACATTATTAATATTAATATACCAAGCAAACCATTACATCAATCATAAAATTATAATCAAACAATATATATAAAGCTTATAGAATATAATGAACAAAAGCAAAAAACAATGACGCTTCGAGATGACACGTTGTAGGTTAAGCGCAGGCAATCCAAGAAAATCTCACCCAGTAGATTTTGGTGTCGTGCCAAGTATAATATTTAATGTTAAAGGAGTAAGGGGTTACGTCAATAGCCGATGACATAACACGAAGGTTGCGATATCTGTTAACATCAAGGCCGGCCAATGACACGGAGACTGAAGGTTTTTTCACAAAATGGTGTGGGAAATGGACGTGATAATTCTTATTACGACACAGGTTAGGGAAACAGTTTTCTTGGCGAGATCCCATCTGGCCTGATTTAAACAAGAGAGAGAAGAATAGTCAGCTCATCGCAATAATTCTCGCAATAATGGTCATAATAGGGACCGCGTAATAATTTTCATGATATTAAAAATGCTAGATACGCGAACAGGATTCATCTATATTAAAGTTGCAGGGTGTTAGATATGCAATTTATGCAACGCAATAAATTGTGGTTAATGAAGTAATATGTCAAAGAAGACTCTATTTGCCTTAAGGAAATGCCAATCTGTCATCAAAACTACTGCACTTGGAAAACAAGGCATTACTTTCCAATCATGCTGCCAAAAGAGATTGAACCTTGGCAACAGCACGTGAACACGTCATGCACTTTGGTTTAATCAATCAACTCTTCTTAAATATATCCGTCGCAACAATACAATGGCCCCATTCTTAGTGAAAGACATTTAGTTACAGGCTATATGCTTCACGCCTCATTCGCAATATTCTAACCAGAGCGTAAGCTACCAAAACCTGGTATACAAAAAAAAACCACCCACCACCCCAGAGCCGAACCTGCCTGCTTATACAATCTATAGATCGACATACTTTCGATCTATACAATCCAATTCAGCCTAATTGCTTAATCATTTATGTAAATATATAACTTATACATCTGTACCAGAATTGCAGAATGAAATAAATAAATAATGGCAGGGAAGTGCTGTCCTTTTGGACAACACTTCGCCACGTAAAGTGTATTTTTGAAGGTCATTCAGGTCGCAGTGCGACCTAATGACCTGACCTAGAGACTCGATGGGTAAGTCATTTCAGTTGAGTTACCATCAGTTGTTCACCAGTTCAACTAGTATTCAACATCAACGAGCTGACTGACCTGAACGGGGGTTCGCCTGTTCCCCTGTTATCTAGAGGTTCACCTGTTCCTCTATGAAAAACATACAGTTTTTGCATGCTCTGTCAGGTCTTGAGTACCCATACTGGCAGTATACCAATGGTGGTCCCCAGACCATCAGGACTTATATGTCGCTGAACAACATGCACAGAGCCGCGTCACTCCCTCTGCAATCTAGAGGTCCGCCTGTTCCAGACCGTTCGAGCACTTCCTTGCCCATAATATATGCCACAAAAACCTGTCTGCTGTGTGTTCTTGTTTTCTGGTTTCTTGGGGTTTTTTCAAACTGCGGTTTGGATGCCAGTTGTTTCAACATATTAAACTTCATTAATTAGCCAATATACTGTCCGTTTGACGGACTCTTCCCAATTGAAGTAGCCAAGGGGCTTTCCCAACTGGGTCTACTGGACGATTTTCATTTTTTATGATGAGAAAGTGCATTGCGTTTGATTTTAAACGTTTTATTTACTTTAACTATTTTCTCAAAATGTATCTCGTTTCATTCATATTGGGGGTGTATTCCCCTCAAATGAAATGTACAAAACAAAGTGTAATCGGTGTGCATCCATGTTCATTCACCGGAAATGAAATATACAAAACCAAGCTACCGTTGTTTGCAACTAAGACTAAGGAGGAACACGTTGGAAAAAAAACACTATTTATTCCTACACAAGGACTTTGATCGGTCAAAAAAACTTTCCCAATTTATACGTTTAATGGACAAAACTTTTTTTTCTGGCTAACACCCTGTTGCTGAAACGTTCTCTGATCGTAAAATCTATTTAAACACGAGCTTCTGACTGCCAGTCTGCAGTCTTCGACAGGTAAAGCAATACTAAATATAAAACTATTCTACAAGGACAGTGGTTTACGTATACCTACAATTACAATTAATGACATGCAATGGCAATATAGGTGGTCCAAGCACCAAAAAAGTGGTACGGGTACCAATTTTATCCATGTGGCCGTACCAAAAATTGAGCGTAGCCTTTTTGCCCTGTTGTACCGCCATCTTGGATTTATCATGTAGGCCCCGCCTGCACTAGGTATGCGTTAGCAATCTAGATCTCCTATATCTATGGTATAATCAATACTAGACACATGTTAAGAAACTTGTCAAATTTTGTGGGGTCACTGTTAAAAAATGTTGCTAATTGGTTTACATGTATCTGAATGCATTTTAACCATAGTGAATTGTGCGCCCAGCTGTCGCTTTCGTGAATATTGAAAATTCCATCTTACACCGCATGAAAATATTTTTTACAATTATACTCACAAACGTTCTTGTATACTATCTGCTTGTTAATTTTATGCAAACTTGTACTGCGCATATAAGTAGGTATTCGCCACAAGAATTTTGTGTGAAGAATGTGTATACAGTATCAGGCCAGATGAAAGGCACATATATTCATGTGAAATTCATGTCTAACTGAAAAATTCAGGTGAAAATTCTTGCAGATGATTATTGTGATTCGGTAAAGAAACAATCACTGCGCAAATATATGCAACGGCCAAATCGCGTGTTATTCTGCTTTGAAAATCACGTGGGCACGCTTAAAACTGTGGAAACCCAAAACGCTTTCAAAACTAATATGTTTTACTTTTCAAAACTGATCATTTTGGTTGCCATTGGCAGTGTGCAGTTCCACTTATAAGATTCACAACGTCGATATTTAAACTATAAATGTTTACATTCTTTTGAAAATAAATTTAAAAAGACGTGTGAATCTATTACCGTTTGTTATGCTCTTGCATCCACGACGGTAAAACTCTTGTTGTGAGGTTGTCGACGTTTGGTCGACGACGAGCAAATTGAGAGAGACACATGCACACTTCAAGAACTATTACCAATTTACTTCCACTTGCCGCCCTAAATATTTGACATCGTAGATATTAGGGCCATTTATACGGGACAAAATAAGACGCGACTTACATAAGACGCGACTTAAATAAGACGCGAGTTTGTCGTATAAAAGGTCACGGTACAAAATTCTTATGTAAGACGCGTCTTGGATAAGACGCGTCTTACATAAGAACAGGACTTTTAGCTGTTCTTATTTAAGTCGCGTCTTAAATAAGAAATTTTGGACAAAAATTCTAACTACACATGTCCGAAACTTGAAACAACGTAAAATTATTAGCCTTGCATATTAAAACAAAAACAACCGAAACAACATTATAGCTATAGCAAGTAAATAAGAATAAAGCCGTAGAGAACCATTTATGCGATAACTCAGCTTATATAAGACGCGTCTTATGTAAGTCGCGACTTATTTTGTCCCGTATAAATGGCCCTATTGAGCTAATAGAAACCTTACGATTTTAGGACGGCAAAGCGACGGCAACGGCTACGAATACAATAGATCATTGAAAAGAATTGAGTAATTACAATATATGAATAATTTAGACATTGTCCTCGCTCTGTTCACAACGCTAAATCACAGATTTTCACGTCTTGATACAACGGCTGCATTCCAAGCCGCAACAAGTGCAACTTCAAACTGGGTTTAGCAGAACTCTTCCCAACCATAAAACCCATGTCTTCAACTTCTAAAACTGTATTAAATTCATACGATTGATAATATACGACGAACTATCTTTACTACCATTTATTTGAAGGAGTTAGTTTTGGCCGTCGCCGTCGCGTTGCCGTCCTAAAATCGTAAGGTCTCTATCTACTTATTTTGGGCGACGTCCTAGTTCCAGTCCTCTGCTTAGAGTCCTCTCGTAGATCTTAAGCTATCTATTTATAGAAAACTATTCTACGGATATAGCTACTACTACTTAAGCCCCGTTTACACTTTTAGATTCTATTACGAAAATCAGGATTTTTTCATTTTTTGCCGTCGCATTGTTTTGAAACTTATTCGGTCAAATCTTATGGTAAAGAGAAACTTACCGCGAAGATTTTGAGCATATATATGATTGAATTGGATGAAAAATCGCAAAATTATCCAGCGATAAAAGTTTGTGTATAGTACTGATACAGTACTATATATGTAACTTGTACAGTTTTGCTTTAATTTTTGCTCACTATTTCCATAAAAAGCAAATTATAACAGACCATAGATGATAGACCCTCATCCAGTGCTCTCATCAGTTTACTTCTCTAACAAGCAAGGAGGGGGGGAGGTACATAACAGTTCATTTTTCATAATTATGAGGACAGAGCAGATGATGATGAAAGATGCAAGTATAAAACACCATTCACAAGGCTAGATGTTAACATAGCACAGTATTTCTGGCAATAAAACGCTCCAACTGACCAACTGACCATTTCACACGAACTTTTATCGCTGGATAATTTTGCGAGTTTTCATCCAATTCAATCATATATATGCTCAAAATCGTCGCGGTAAGTTTCTCTTTACCACAAAATTTGACCGAATAAGTTTCGAAACAATGCGACGGCAAAAAATGCAAATCCTGATTTTCGTAATAGAATCTATAGTCTTTTTGCTCTGTTGTACCGCCATCTTGGATTTATCATGTAGGCCCCGCCTGCGCTAGGTATGCGTTAGCAATCTAGATCTCCTATATCTATGATATATACACTGATATACTCACATCCTGAAAACCCGTTACCATGCCGACGCTGCAGCGTGTGGTGCGCCTCGTCTTTGTACTGAACAATGCCCGTGTTTTCGTCGTCCTCAATAAAAAGAAACATATAATTTTATTGATTTGTATAGACATTCTGCAATTTGATTTGCTTTCTACTAGCAGGATTTTGCCTGTATAATAAAACAGTTATTCTACTCACTCTCATCGTATATGACTCGAGTTCGCAAAATAACTGTTAATTATGCAGACTATACTCATAAATGTATGCCGAATAAAGTTCGTTCGAATAAACTTTGTTTATTATGTGAAAACGTATTTGGACTCCCACGCTATTCATTCATAATAGAGTACATTGAACTTTTAGAGGGGGGTCTCGAGGGTATGCTTTTAGGGGGTCCGGAAGGGGGGGGGGATTTTTGAATTCTAGAGTCGGTAAAGTGCCATTTTCAGCAGTGAATTTGGGGGCTATTTTAATACGTTTTGATGATTTTAAATATAATAACACATAACAACTCTACTTAATCACAAACGAATCCATGACATTCAAAACGTAAAGGATATAAAATTACCTTTACAAATAAATAAAAATATAATGCACATGCATGGTTGTACTCAGGACCGCCGGAACCAGGGGGGCAGGAGGGGCAGCCGCCCCCGTTGCCCTTTACCAGGAGGGGCAAGGGGGGCAAAGGTGCCCTTTCAATTTAAAGGATTGCCTTGGCGAAATAGCGAATTGTCAGAAATGTTAGTGCAATTATTTTACGAATTTGCTTCAGAAAACGCAAGAAATGCAGTCATCGAGCTTCAAGAATAGCACAATCGCCTGGCGGAGAACCCCCTCACACCCCTATCATCCAATAAATAGAAACCATGATTAGGCGAAGTTCAACTCCCGATGTTTTGCAAACATCTCTTAGTATATATCAATTCAAAAGTGCCCTTCCACGAAAATCTGACCCCCCCCGTGCCTTCACATCGTTCCGGCGTCCCTGGTTGTACTGGTCAGAATGTTTCCAAGGGGGGCTCTTTAGCATTTCGTGAACCGAAACACACTTGTAGTGTAACTGAAAAGGCTGAAAAGTCGGTTCAATTTTCAGGTAAAAAGTACCACCTGAAAATGAAACCGAACCGTTTATAATCTACTCTAAGTATGTAATTATATGAGTCAACATTAACAACGTTGATTTCAGGAAAGGTATACCAGTTGGAAAATGTGTCAATGCCAATCAGCTAACCCACCCTATACCTTGGGAAACAAGCAAGGTATCAACTCGGTCTACATTGGGAATTCTATACGCAATGATAATAAAATCGCACAATGTAAAAACCCATCTTATACTCTTAAACCGTCGACGACTATAATATTATTCTTTCACTCTGTTTTAATGCCAGATAATTATATTTGTCAAAGAGAGAGTCTTGCCATGCCATGCCAGTTGATGGGTAAACAAATATGTCTGTTAACCCCTTGACTTAGCAGTACACCCTTTTTTATTCTTTCACTCTATTTCCAGGCAATTTTACTCATTATAAAGGCGAGTCTTGATGACTTAAAGGTACAATGTACTCTTCAGGAAGGGTCGCGCGATTCCTATCGAGGAGTCATTTTAGCCCATAGTGGCCGTCAAAACGACCCTCTTGTATAAAACGACCCTTCCGAGCAGTCAAACCCTTCAACACAAGGGCGGGACTAAAATTACCCTAAGGGATCAAAACGACTCCATTGAATTTACATTGATACCTACCACATTAAAGTCTTGCATTGTTGATCCCCCAACGCTTCTTGCATTTGCCACGCAATTAACCATCTGAAACGATTTTAAAATGAATGAAATAAGATTGATTACAAACATAATATTTCAATTCCTCATGACAAAAATGTGTTACTTTCGAACATACCAGATAAGATGCCAAAACTGCCCAGAAGATAGCCATATGTTATGCCGAAATTTCAAACAACCACACTGTGTCAGTTCAGTTCTGACAGTTGCGAAATAGTATTGTTATCTCCAAAATGAAACTATACGTACGAATTTTCCCGTAACAAGCTTTTGGGCTATTCTACGGATTCAAACACATAGGGCATGAGAACAATAAACTGATCAACATTCATGTTGAATTTTATAGTATAGCTACAAACCTGTAAATAATTTTGGAACTTTTGATCTGTCGGTTTCTTGACCTGGGGCCGGTTGTATAAAAAAGTGATTAAAGTTAACTATAGTTAGTGGAAACGTCGTCGAATAAGAAGCGCATATTTGAGAGTTAATCACTAGTTAACTACAAAATAGTGATTAAAAAAGTGATTAAGAGTTTTATACAACCGGCCCCTGGTCTTGGTAAAAGCTTCAGAGTTTTGAAGCAGGAAAGCGTCAGCAACATTTTATAAATTCAGCTAAATCCACATGCAGCTTCCTTCAGCAATAAACTGAACTATCATAATACACAGGAAGACAACGATATTTAAACATGCAATTAACTCTATTCTAGAAGCGCATCGAAATACAACCGAGACGTTTCGCCTGGTGGGATACCTTCGACGTATTGAAATAAAACAGCATGTGTAAAAAATAAACAGTGACCGCTTTATCGTATACGAAGCACTTTCAGGGATACGGTTCATTGTTGTGGGCGCCTGCCATCGTGGGCCCATAAAATGTTTTAATGTTTTAACATTGGGAAGCATGCCCTGGTTCCAGAGGCTTATGGGAAAGATAAAAAAATATAGATTTTAATTTTGAAAATAAAGATTAAGGTAATACAATTTCTATTTTAATAATCTAAATTCAGGAAAATATTACCGAAAAATTAGTAACAAATTAGCCTTTCTCACGCCGCCATTTTTGGGTGGCTTTTCAGATTTTGTCAGCCGAAGTCTGCGAGATAAGTACACATAACAGCGACTTTTTATCATTTTTTGCACAAATGATGGTAAATTTGCCTTGTAAATAGTTTATTTTGTAAAATTGCTTTTCACATTGTCTTAATTGTCTGAATTGGTTAACGAGAATTAGATACCACCCAAAAATGGCCGGATATTCGTCATCATGAGAAAGGCTAATTACGGTACAATATTTTTCCTTCCCCCCCCCCTCCCCGCGACTGAAATGTTTCATGTTTTATCAGTAATACCCCCCTCCCCAATCTTGATCGATCCGTTGCTGGGCCTGGACTAACCTGAGTATTGAAAGAGGGCCTGACACGAAACGCCTCAAAAGCCATGTTCAACATCCAGAATCTGGATGTTATGCTGATTGGCTAAGAGACGATAAAACGCATCATGTGATTCAAACCGGAAATATATGACCGGCGTATGTAAACACCAAAAATAGAATTTGTAATTTTGTCAATATACTGTTAAAAGTGCTGTCAGTGCTTTATTTCTGAAATTTATTTTCAATTAATTAAGCCTAAAAATGACAAAATAAGTACGAAAAGACGTTGAAAACGCTTTTGCAGCAACATTTTACTCGGTATAAAACTAAAACTACATAGTCATAGTAGAAAGCGTGTCTAAATATCTCGCCGTAATAGTCGCCGTAGAACGAAAATATGTGGTGTCGGAAATTTTCAAATATTTAGTTTCAAAAAGCTGAAGCCTTATTTATCAGTTTATTGCCGAGCTGTTTTCCAAGACCTGCAAGGATATAGTAGTCAGCTCGCTCGAACTAATATGCCAACATCAGGCAGAAATTGAAGACAATAGCCGCTGTGTCAGACGCAGTTGAAGCGAATAGCTGTCTCGAACAAACTATTAACATGACACGAGGACCGAGGAAGAAGAAATCCTATTCAGAGCGCCGAATGTTGTCTCTTTAGACTCCTGGAAAAAGCCATCGAGCTATGGTTCCCCGAATAAGGCATAGTTTACGC